CTTATTATAACATTCTGCTTTGCTAAAAACCTTTCGTAAGCTACCCTTTTTCTCTTTATCACACCCACTTTACTTCGCATCATTCACCAATCACTCCTCTTTCTCCTGCCCACCTCCTATAACACAAATCTATCTGCCCCACATCTAATTACTGCATTTTAAAAACTATTCCAACCCTCTTCAACCCCCATACGCATCTTTTGCAACTCCCCCCCCCTAATGCCAATAGTTGCTTATATTCGCCCGAACTTCCTCCTCCCTTAGTTTATAACACTTTTCACATCCTCTTACTTTGTTGCCACCTTCCTCTTTCCCATCTACCACCTTATTCTAACTGTAGCTACAAACTAAATAATGCTCGATATATCAGTTGCCCCTCTATAAAACATGTACATCCGGAGCCTACCATCACTTTTATCCACCAATACATAATTAACAAACTACTTTCATTACGTTGCTACATCATAACCTTGTATATTTATTTATCTCTTTTTCATAAAATATGTTTACTTATTACCAAATTCGATTTCCTACCCCCCCACGCATACCCCTTAAAGGCTCCCCATTTACATTTACCCCTGGCACCAAATTTACTATACTCCCCTCCATAAATTTTTTACCCTCTTGCATTGAAATCCCCAACCACCATTACTCTCACACTTGATTCAAAAATCCCCACGCATCCACTCAACATTTTCCCAGAATCTCTCTCTCTTCCCACACTTCTCTTTCTCCGGGCATTTTACGCTTATATAACCCTTTTCAATCCAATCTTTTTTTTCTCCACATAATCTTAAATTTATGCATTTGTAGCCCCTCTTTTCCTCCCATAGCTTACCTTAACATTATTGTTTCCCCTTTTTTTATTCTAATCTATTTGAAACCCCTGCCTAACCCTTTTATTCCTTCCCCAAATTAAAACCTCCCACCCCTTAGCTTTGTTTACTTAAGCCAGGAATCCAGTTTTTTTCCTTTCAAACTCCACAATACTCTTTTTATCATTGCAACATCCACCAATTAACTTCCCACTTTGACAATTTTCTTTTTTATTCTTTTTAGTAATTTTTAAAGGGAAAAAGGGGTTATCCCCATTTTCCCGGTATTTTGTTGATTTTTTACAACGCATGGTTACGGGGGAAAAAGATTCTTTTCCCACTTCCCCAGGGAAAAAAAGGAAAAAAAAAAGACAAGAACTATTAAGTAAAATCAAAGAAACTCAGTGAGTGGAAAAAAAATAACATGTTGTGTAGGTGACCTAAGTGAAAGAGAAGTGCAAGAGTCCCTGTATTCTTGATTTTTATGAGACAACAAAAGACACCAGCTTCCTACCATCATTAAAACAATTACGGGCTTTCGTTTTACACTACTTGGCAGGACGGTAGTACCTCTCTGGGTGGTTGCTGTTACAACCCTACCTTTTTATATATATATTTATATTTTATATATTTTTAAATTATATATATTTATATTTATATATATATATATATATATATTATATATTTAATATATATATATAAAATAATATATATACAAAAATTAAAATTTTAATATATATTATATATAATATTATATTTTAATAATATATATATATATTATATAATATATATATATATATAAAATAATATTTAATAATGTCGAAGGTTTTTTAAAATTTTTATAGAGGGGGTTGTAAAAAATTAATGTAGGGTGTGGGGAAAGGCGGGGAAAAATTTAATGGGGAATCAAATAAAAAAGGGGGGTTTGACACAGTTATTTTTGTGATGATACTGTGCTTAGGGAGATTCAAAAAGAAAAGTTGCAAGGTTTAGTGGATGGGTTGGGGGGTGTGTAAAAGGTAGAAGTTGAAGTGAACATAAATAAGAGAAGGTAATGGGGTATCAAACATTTAAAAAAGAAAAGATTGGATACATTGGGAAGGGAGTATGGGAAAAAAGTGAATGTTTTCAGATATTTGGGAGGAGACGTGTCAAAGGATGGGGTTTTTGAGGAAGGTATACAAAAATGATGAAAGGAAAAAAAAGGGAGTGGTGCATTGAGGATATGTGGCGACAAAAAACGTTATCCATGGAGGCAAGAAAGGGGAAAGTATGAAGTTTGGGTACCAACACTTTAATGGGTGTGAAGCTTGGGTTGTAAAAATGCGGGGGAGGAGGCGGCTGGGGGAAACAGTAGAGATGTCCCTTTTTAAAAGGCAATGTGTGGTTTTAAAATTTTTACAGAGAATGGGAGTTGGAATTAGGAAGAGGTTGGAGTTAAATAAAAGTATTAGTCTAGGGTGAAAGGGGGGTTTGAACTGGTTGGGTTATTTAGAGAGAAAGGGTCAAAGTTGAATGACTTGGAGGGCGTATAAATCTGTAGGGGAAGGAAAGTGGGGTAGGGGTCGTCCTCGAAAAGGTTGAAGGGAGGGGGTAAAGGAGGTTTTGTGTTCGAGGGGCTTGGACTTCCAGCAAGCATGTATGAGAGTGTTAGGAGTTAATGCAGACGAATGGTTTTTGGAAACTGACGAGCTGTTGGAGTGTGAGCAGGGTAATAATTTGTAAAGGGATTCAGGGAAACCTGTTAGCCGGACTTAAGTCCTGGAAATTGGAAGTACAATGCCTGCACTTTAAAGGAGGGGTTTGGGATATTGGTAGTTTGGAGGTTGGCTTTTAAACTGTTGTATCCGAATGCCTCTGGAAAGACAGTGATTATGTATGAGTGAGGTGAAAGTGATGAATGATGATGCAAGTATTTTGTTTTTGGGGATTTGCTTTCTTTTTGGGTCACCCTGCCTCGGTGGGAGACGACCGACAAGTTGAACTCAAGATATAAGAGGAGATAGGTCAGACTCTGAGGCTCTCCTTTATTTTACCAGTAATTATTAGTTACCAGCCATCCATCGTGTGTTATTCTCAAATGCATAAATTCGAACCCCTTGCGACAGAATAAGGCAAGCAAAAATTTGTGTATGCAATAATTTCGCAAAAATCAATTTGAGCCTAACGGACATGTTCATTACCTTCAACGCACCATACCCACCAAGTATATCATACTCCACTCCCACAGTCTAGTCTAGCCAGACGGATGCCAACCAGGAGGAAGCAAGCAGCCAGGAAAATGGCACTGATGGCAATACTAGGAGAGGCAAGTGCCGGTCGTGCTTAATTAAGGCTTCGTTGTCTCAACTCCAATGGTTTCCTCCGCATACACGGCAGTTGCCCTTGTTCAGGATGTCCTCCTGTGGAAAGTGATGTTCCAGAGAAACAACACTGCGACTGGCCGAGGACTCGAACCCATGTCGTTTTGACCCGCCTCATGGTGAGCAAAATTCACATGAAGCCCTAACCACTTGACCACGCAAATCTTACAAGAATCACTCACCCAGCAGAGCTAGGTGTTTTACCATGATCTGGGGACATATGGTGGTAAAACAACTAGCTCTGCTGGGTGCGAGATTCTTGTAGGATTGAGTGGTACAGTGAGTTACAGGGTTACATCTGATATTCGCTCACCATGAGGAGAGCCAAAACGACATGGGTTCGAGTCTTCGGCTAGTCGCAGTGTTGCTTTTGATTAAATACCACTCGTTCGTGGTTACAATAATATATATACTGCTTGTTGAGGCTAGTAAACAAAGCGGGGAGTAGAATGAAATTAGCTCAGAGGCACCCACACAACCGTATGTTCTCGGATCACAGTAAAACACCTAGCACTGAGGGGTGCGTGATTCTTGGAGTATTGAGTGGTCCAGTGGGTTACAGGGTCATGTGATTTTCGCTCAAAATGAGGCTGGCCAAAACGACATGGTTTTGAGTCCTCGGCTAGTCGAATTAAATACCACTTGTTTCTGGTTACAATAATATATATATATATATATATATATATATATATATATATATATATATATATATATATTATATAATATATAATATTATATTTATATATATATATATATATATAATTATATATTATATATATATATATTATATAATATATATAATATATATTATATATATATATATTTTATATATAATATATATATTATATATAATTATATTATATATATATATATATATATAATATATATATATATATATATATATATATATAATATATTTTAAATATATATATATATATATACATATATATAATATATATATATATATATATATATATTATATTTATATATATATATATTTATATATATATATATATATATATATATATATATATATATATATATATATATATATATATATACGTATATATATATATATATATATATATATATATATATATATATATATATATATATATATTATATACATTATATATAAATATATATATATATATATATATTATTTTATGGAATTAGATTTTTTCTTTGGCTCTCCTGCTGTACCTACCCTCGGTTGTTGCACAGGTTGCCGTTAGTAAACATATATGGAATAACAGTAAATTAATTAACAACTGTCGGTGCGAAGAATCAATATTGGAAATTTCGAGACAAGTGTAATATGCCAAGAAATATAGTTAAAAGCTTTAAATGTGCATAGAAAGGCTAGGTAGTAAAAAAAATTTAAGGAAAGTTTTATTAACTTATTTAATTTTTCCAACTGTAACCATAATTATTTTTTTTTTTTTACTATGCATCACAAGCGTCATCCCATGACATTCCAGTTCCAATGACTATTAAGAGTCGTCCAAATTTGTGGGACAAATATTATTTAATATAAGTTTTTTTTTTCAAATTCCACAATTTTTATTCATTGAGGATAAATATGCATGATGTTCAGTAATTCGGCTCTAGGACGATGTAATTATATTTTTTGAAAAGCTAGTTTCGAATCAAGTTTACAAGTCACATTCGACACAATGAGACACATGAGTTTCAGAAATGTTGTAACTCTTCATGTTGTAGATTCTTTCCTTGAAAATAACCATCCTACCTTAAATAACATAGTAAACCTTGCATTGTTATTATTACAAAGGTCACAGCTTCACACAAATAGAAATTTTAC